TGGAGAAGAATTGACTGTTTCTGAATGTCACCTCACTATATTGCAGACTTTTGGACATAGCGTTGTCCCAGATATGCGACAAGTCAGTCAACACCTCCGCACAATAATTCAGGCAGTGAGTGACAACATTTTTCATCACAATGCTTATGTGTCCCTGTACAGCTAGCTTTGCTAACATCACGTTAACGGAGCTTACCTTCTTTGAGCTACTTTTCTAAGTGACGAAAAAAGTTAGACGTAATCCCCACCGTCTGTGAAAGTGAAGCGATGTTGAGTTAGCTGTGGCCATCGGATTTCTTACTATTTTTGCAGCGCTATTATATTACTGACGATTAGACAAACATTTTCTGCCGCTGAGAGAAAACCACTGCGCATGTCCTGGAGCGAGTGGAAGGTGGGGAGTGGAGAGGGAGGGGGGAGAAACACGTAGTTGCTTGGATTTTAATCGGTGCGTTTTGCATCCACTGAAAACAAAGATGTTAATAAATAAACAGGACAGTATGATGTACGTTTAGTGATATTTTCACAGTTGCGGTCTCGACTTGTCTTGAAATAAAATGCCGAGTCCTCAGAGCTCGAGACCGAGACAAGACCGAGACCAAATGCGGTTGAGTCCGAGACGAGACCGAGACCATCAAAAAATGGTCTTAAGACCGGTCTCGAGACCTAGACCAACTTCGAGTACCACAACACTGGCTGTTGGATCTCTGTGAAGATTTGTTCTATTTTAGGGGCAGTATTTCCTGTCGAATGCAAACTAGTTGATTTTATGTGAGTAGATTGAATCAGAACATTTGATGGTCACTTGGATTCTGGTTGCTATGGTAATTAACTGTTGAGGGGAAGCTCTTCTTCCTGCACATCAAACTTCACCAAAGTATGGTACACATCTGGTAATATATTATTATTACTCTATAATAACATAGTTGCCATTTTGAACTTTATGGGCCCAATATTCAATGTCAGCATAAATATGTTAGAAAATGTAGTGTAATCAAAATGTTAGTTCAGATTTCTGTGAATCAATATTGATCTGCGATGTTTTAAATTGCGATTCACAACATGAGTGTGCCACTGCAAACACGCATATTGTAACACCCACTTCATTTTAGTCCTTTAAGCATTACTTGTATATAGCACTTATATGTCTGGAATGAATAAAGTTATTAAGGGTTCATTTTCCAGGAACATGTGGTAAATGTCCAACATGCATTTTATGAAGAATCTTCTAAATTAGTCTAAATCAGTTTTGTTCTATCTGAAAATAATTATCATGGTTATTCACTGGCTAACTTTTGGACACACCATCTACTTCAAGATTCTTCTTCTTTTGGCGGTTTTCTTTTCTCACATGACTGAATAATTTCTAATGAAAATCACATCGCTATTCTGCAGCCTGTGAGCATCATTCAGTTCATGTACTGAACATTCCCATAGAATTCAAAATGACTGACTGGTGCTTCATGAGGTTTACTGCTTTCTGTCATTTCTTCCTCTTTTGCAGTCAGAATTTCAGTGGTTTGTGGCTCATTAAAGAGTTAGTGTCCTGGTTTTGTTAAAAAATATATTTTAATACAATAAAACATAAATGGGGAGAGCTGAACAGATCCAGGGTGAAAATGGCTGATGATGTAAAGAGGTGAAGGCTGTGTGAAGTTCACAAGTCATGTTGAGGGATGCAAACTCTGTACTTTAAAAGCAGGTTCTATTCTTACTGCATTATAATAACACCCCATTACAATGCAGATGATGCGCAGAGGTTCTAAACATGCAGATTAAAATAGTGTGATAAACAAAACTGCAATTAATTCTGTCGCTATGTGTACATAAATAATATTTAATCTTAATGGAAATAGTATTTATGAGGTGGAAGAATGATCACATTATTCTTTTGTCATTTTGCTTCCATATATTTATCCCCTGAGGTCATTTTACTTTCGGACAGTCGTTAGGGGAGAGCATCTAAAAATTTCTACAAAAGTTTTGGGACATGACTGGTTAAGAAATTAGACACTAGTGACATGTTTCATACAAACATCCATCCATCCATTTTCTGTACACCCTTGTCCCTTAGTGGGGTCGGGAGGGTTGCTGGCGCCTATCTCTAGCTAACGTTCTGGGCGAGAGGCAGGGTACACCCTGGACAGGTCGACATCCTCTGTGTGTCGCAGGGCAACACACAGAGACAGACAGAGCAAACAACCATGCACACACACACCTAAGGAGAATTTGGAGAGGCCAATTAACCTGACAGTCATGTTTTTGGACTGTGGGGGGAAGCCAGAGAGAACCCACACATGCACAGGGAGAGCATGTATGCAAACTCCATGCAGAAAGAGCCCGGGCTGGGAATTGAACCCAGAACCTTCATGCTGCAAGGCAACAGCTCTACCCCAACTGCACCACTGTGCAGCCCCTCATACACACATATTTCAGGAATATTTTACATTTGTGTTCCTTTTATCAACTTTTTTTCTATAATAAAGACCCCTATACAAATGTCTGCTTGCAGTGAGACATATTCTGCTGAAGGCTTCTTTCTGAGATATAACTGTTTTTAACTTCCTACCGTTACCAAGTGCATGCATGATGTATTGTTGGCTAACTGCAGTCACTACAGATTGAAAACTTTGTCAGTAAGTGTTAAGTGAATTTGACTGAATTAGAATAGATGTAAATCATTTAGCATCTGCTTGTGTTTGGATTCAGTGTTTCTGTGTGGATTTAGTCTGTTGATCTTATAAAGCACATTAAGACGACACTTATTAAGCACTATGGAATGGAATTTATTTTCCTGTTCATCCATATTTGTTTGGAAAAATGTCAACACTTTAAAATTGTTCAAGCAATACCTGATCGCGTGAAAAATAAACAAACCAAAAGACACTTGGGCTGTGAATATCCGCTAGAGGTATAAGAGCAGCTGCTAAAGCAAGAGAGGTGAAGGAAGACACCTTACTGAGGCTGTTCTTAGCAGTTCATGTTTGGGTTGGCAGAGTGGAAGAAGCTGCAGGGTCAATCCCTGCCTCCGGCTTAGCTCAGGATCCCTCAGACAGACTGAGCTGCTTGGAGCTCTCCGCATATCTCACAGATTGAAAGGTAAAAAGCCTAAACCTCCATATTTGACAAGCTGTCATTGTGTGTTAGTCATGTGTGCAGTAGTGTACGTGCAAGCATGTATGTGGGCGGTGAGCTACAGAGTTCATACGGGAGGGAAGCCAGTTTCTTGCCACATAAACACAACCATCATAGTTTTCCACAAGCAGAAAAAAGCCGTACAAATCCGAGGGACAAGTGTCCAGAGAGGAAGCCTTTGTTTACTGGCTACTGGCTGTTGAGGTTTGGCAACTGCTCTGTAAATCTGAGCCCTAAGTTTAACCACAGCAGCAAATATAACAGTTAATGACGGAGTCTCACAAGTCAGATTGTGTTCACAGAATGCCTCTCTGGTCTGCAAAAACACAACATAAGTGATTATGGTGAACAACAAGTTAATGAGTAATTTATGGATTTATTTATATAACAGTATTTTTGTGCAAATAATATTTAATCTAAATGAAAATAGTATTCATGGGGTGGAAGAATGATCAAACTTGAAAATCTTTTTCTCACATCATTCTTTTGTCATTTTGGTTCCACAAATTTCTCTCCTGTGGTCATTTTGCTTTCCAACAGCATCTAAAAGTTCCTTCAAAAGTTTTGGACATGACTGGTTAAGAAATCAGACTCTGGTGACATATTTCATACAAACAGACACAGAGGGTTGGAGATTATGTGAGAAATTCCAGGGACATTTTAAGAGCACAAAATGTATCCCACCTTTCTGTAATCATTAAGATGCTTCTTAAGATTAAATAAAATATTCAATGATTGATGTTCTTTTCTCACTCTTATTTTTTATATGCTTAACTTCAATTGTGGTGCAGCCAAAATCCAACACATGACATACACAGGAATGTATTCAACCCCATCTTACCTGCTCAAGGTCCATTTTACTGTTTCCAAATATGCTATTGAATCAAAATCTAGTTTTATTCAATGGAGATGAATTTATTTATTCTTTCTAAATCAATACACAAATTGATAAAACAAATAAAAGGCATGCCCTCTTCAGGTGAGTAAACAGACGTTTCCAGCCCACCGGTTCTGCAGGCTGTTTACACAGGGAAGAGACGAGGATCTAACTAAGCTGCTTGTCCTGAAGTCTAAACAGGTGAAATCCTTTAAGACGGCCCGATCACCAGGTGACAGTCGCCTGTCTGTCAGTGCTCTGACTCCGCTTAGCGATGGATTGGAAGTAAACAAACAGGAGTGAAAGGGGTGTGAGAGATGAGTCATCAGTTCTGGGCTGCCTGTGCTGTCTGCATGCCTCAGTCTGCTCAACATCCGCTCCCCTGAAGGCCCTCGTCACCACAGGCATACTTCAGCAATTACCTCCTCGCCCACACACTGTCAGTCACATGGGCTGTAATAACAGGCTGTCGCACTGTCCTACTCCAAACCCGCTCACCAGAACTCTGCAGCCACACATACACACACCCACGCCACACAGCGTACAAATCTTGATTGCCAAGGCGACACATGCTGCTATAAAAATGGTATTATTTCAAAAGGATTTCAGAAGTTTGAACATTATATTTTTTCTTCATATTCATAATATAAACAGTATGTTAATAAACATTAACAAGAATTCTGTAATCCTAAACATAAACTGATGGATGAAATTTCTAATTCTAAGTATAAATATTCAAAAAGTGATAAATCCATCATGCAGTATGATGCCAGATGGAAACTCCAGTTATGCCAAAAACAGAACAGTTTCCCTTGTGTTGTTTACACAACTGTCAACCCGCGGGGTTGACTGTTTATTGTCAACTGTTTATTGCCAATAAACAGTTCATTATTTCATTACTTTGGCTGAATCATGATAAACTGCCACCTTATGCCTTATGTAACCGGCACAAAATAATCATATTTTATTTTGGCGGGTCAAAGTGACGGCCCACTTTAAGTTCCGGGTCATAGGTTAACTCGGATCTCCATTGCTGTGTGCTGCTGTCGCTGTGGCTAACTGCTCGTCTTGGCGTCTTCTAAACGTTTGGAAGAATACGGCTGGATCGAGGCTTAACAACACAGCCTAAGGATTTAATTGGGTGTTTTCTATCTATCGCTCGACGGTGAGTTGTTTGTTTTAAGTACTTTGGGTTTTCTTTTTAATAGAAATGCGGTGGCGACACACCCACTCAATTTATGTGTTAATGGTTGAAAATTGGTGTTATTGACTAAAAGGTCATTCGTTTTTTGTTAATTTTGTGGCCGAATAGATTATATATTGTCAAAATATTAAATAGGCCTTTTGATTTTTGTAAATTTGTCCTTTTAGGATAGTTTTAGTTACTTCTCATTTATTTTGTTGACGGCCTATAGAAATCTGGGTTTGGTTAATTTTTTTGAGCTGCGCAACGAAACAAAAGAAAACTAGGAAAACAATTGTTTGAAATAATACAGAAGTCGATTAAGTTTAATTGACACTGCTGCCAATTAAACTTGGGTATAACTTGAAAGTGCACTTTAATTTGAATCCAACTTTAATTTGATCTGTACCCTTGATTTGTAACTTTAATTTGGATCTAACTTTCATTTGATCTGTACCCTTGATTTGTAACTTTAATTTGGATCTAACTTTAATTTGAATCTGTAAACTTGATCGCGATCTTTAATTTGAAATTCATTTCAAAGATTCCTGAGAAATACTCTATGCAATATAGCTATTTTTTTGTGATTATTGAATGTTTAGTTATTTTGAATAATAGTTTAACCCTGTTTGAATGTGAAAGCTAATTTGTTTTATTTATATTTATGACCTTGTTTAGGTCAGGGTTTTTTTCCACCCCCTGTGTCAACCCAGGATGGCGAGCTAAGGATCACCGCAGCTTTGCGGTAGGAGTTAAATGAACCAAGCTACTTTCTCATTCTGGATCTATTTGCACTGGATCATGGACAAAAAAACAGTCAGATAATTGATTGATGGACCATTAATCACCCTGGACTCACAAATGGACTCAAAATAGAAAAAAAACTCTTGGGTGTCATCAGGGTTTATTGTTTTTGTTGTTGTTTTGTTTTTTTCCTGGTTGTGTCTTTTGGTTATATTCATAGCAAATCACTGTTATTATAAATATCATTATTATTATTGCATATCTTCCTAAATATATGGAAAAAAAACACAAGCTTGAATACAATAACTTCAATTTACTTTCTGTCTGATTGTGTTTTATTCACACGGGCTCCATAGTCGAACCTATCTGAGTGCCTATTATTATATTTGGCTGTAGTCAGGCGCCTAGCCTTAATTAGCGTTACACTTAGAAATCAAAACTAGCTTAACTGCTACATTGCTTTCATAGGCTTAGCTTTTTTTTCTGTTGAAGGTAGCCAATGTTTAAATTATATTTAGCTCTCTAACTTTAATAAGAAGAGTTTGAAACGGGAGTGAGCTGAGCGTTAGTACGGAGCCAAGAGCAGAGGAACTATTGCAGCTGACAGTAAAAAAAAGAAATAAAGTATGCCTTTATTTCTTACCACCTTCAACGTAGAGTATTTGAAACCACAAAATAAAATCTGAATATTTTTCTAGAAAACTCTGATGTTGACCTTTAAGTTTATGATACTTCCCAAACATTCAATTCCTACATATTTATAGGTTTTAACATCCCCCCCCCTAAAAAAAAACGAACGTTTAAAGCAACTTAAGTTATCATTTAAATAACACATGACTTGTATTGAGAACCACAGCAATAAATCAATATTTATGAGGAATTTTATTAAGTGGAATTACTTATTAAAACTTGTTTTTATTTAGAGGCTTAAGTTTTTGTAAAGGTATAGCAGAGATTAGATCTTTGACTCTGAACCAAACTCATCTAAGCAACATTTGAATCTTAGTTTGATTTCTATGGGTCTCAACAGGTTGTTTACTGAGAAAAACACTTTTGTCATTCATTGCTACTTGTCATTTTTGGTGGTGCAGCTTGACCACACAAAAAAAAAAATTAAACCACATTTTATGTTACATTTTACTGTAACTTTGCCGAACCCCTCTCCCCAAAATTGCTCTTAAAATATTTCCCAGTTTTTGGTCCCCCCCCAAAAAATGAGATGGGATTTACGCGCTTGGTTTACAGGTGTCTAAATACTTGGGGCAGCTGTGCCTCCTTATGCCTCTGGCCACTGAGACATCTACCCACCGGCCAGAGTAGACATCTTGCAATTGCACAGTTGTTAGTTTGATTCCAGATTCCTCCTGTTGCAACCCGAAGAGTCCCTGGGCAAGGCACTTAACCCTGAGTTAAGAATAGGTGTCTGAATGTGAGTGTGACTGGATAAATGTATTTCTAGTGTAAATATTTGACCATGAAGTTTTGATTTGAATTCAACTCATTTACCATCTATCAAAACATTTAGCCAGAATGTAAAAGTGGTATGAGTGTCATACATCACTGCTGCTTCAACAGGACTAAAGAGGAAAGTTACCCAGCTGCTGGCATTCCAATACACTAAACTAATTCACTATTGGCAGCATTACTACGCAAATAGGAGTTGAAACATTTTATAGTTCTGGAGCAGATGAATACTAAGCAGGAAAAACAAATATGAAAAGTATTTCATATTTGCTATCACCCTGTTCATGACCTTGTGAAGATGCTGACTTAAGCATCTTAACATGAAACACATCCTGTAAAGGCATAGGCTAAAAGGAGGCTCAAGAAGAAGTCATTACTCCTGAGCAACACAAAAAGTTACAGTTTGGAAATGTAGTCAGACCTTAATGTCTGAGATGTTCTGTGGTCTGATGAAGCTAAAATTGAGGGGTTTGAATGTGAAGACTGATGTTACATTTGTAGATGAACAGAGGAATCTTACAAGCCTGATAACTCTATCCTAACATGTTGTACTGTTCTGTTGCAGCAGGGATGAGCGCACTTCATAAAATAAAACCATGAGGAAAGAACATTATGTGGAAAATATAGAAGCAACATCTCAGGACATGCGCCATGGAGAAGTCTTCCAAACGGACAGCAACCTTGAAGATACCACACACTTCGATACAAACTGACAGCAAAATGAATGTTTCAGAGTTGCCATCACAAAGCCCTGGGCTTAATCTCCCACAACATTTCTGAGCAGAATTTAAAAATGTGTGAGAAAATGTCTACAAGCCTGACTCGGTTCCATTAGTACTGTCAGGAGGAATGGGTAAGAACTCCAGAAAACATTTGTAAGAACTGTGTGGAAGAATGTTCAGCACAAGGTCCAAGTCAGACAGTTCAAATGTAATTTTACCAAATATTCTTCCAATCTAAAGGTCTCTGCTAGACATGTAGACATGTAGATGGTTGTTAGTGCCATTCCACCCCTCTGTCTGCACAAAAAAATGAAAAGAAAATCCTGAAAATGTTGGTCTATATCCTCATCCTATCTCCTACAGTCAGTATCACCTGGCTAAAGGAAAATACTTTGATAGCATAACCTCACAGTGGTGTGAGTAGAACTGACCCCAGGGAAGTGGTGCTTATTAAAGGCCTCCATATGCTTGTGCATATATTATGTTTTTTTTTTAACTGGCAGTGTATAAAAAGCAAAAAGTGTCATATAGCAAATAGACTGGATAAGGCATTTTATTCTGTGCTATTGCATTAGCCTCATCACTTCCCAATGTCAGAGCATCAGGCAAACAAGGTCCTCATCTCACCATAACACACACACATGCTTCACCTCTTACTCATACAGTTTGTTAGCATGAGGCAGCAACAAGCTGGCAGCTGCTCAAAGGTCAACACAAGTGCATGTCACTTTGTCAGTAGAAACACAAATACATAACATGTGGGTGAGGGGAGGGCTGAGGTGGCGTGGTGGAATCTCACCTAAGTCAGGTGGTTTACGGTTAAGAGTGAAAACACAAAGCCCCCACGTTCCTCCTGAGATCCACATTGGAGTGAAATGAGAGTCAAAAGGTTTCTGTCTCTGTTTAGATTTTTTGCTTTTGTCACACATGAACAGGTATGCAGACACAGAAATGTACCGGTTGTCATGGTGCAGTGTCTGAACCCACCTGGCTCAGTGCACCATCCGGTCATCACTTCCATACAAGTGGTTGTTTTCAGAGAGAGAAGGTGGATGTGTCAAGTTGTGATATTGTCATGTTTGATCATGTTTGACATAAACTCTTTTGGAGCTGTTTCTGTTTCTATGGGTGTTTCCACACCTGACAGTCGGTTAGACCCAGTTCAATCAGGGGCTTAAACAGCAGCTGGTGCAGTTTGCTTCACAGAGCATTGTTTCAAACAGATCAAACCTTTAGAGAAACCTGCTTTCCATCTCACCTGTGGGGGCACTGCACTAAAAACCACCAAAGGAAACAACACAAAACCTCTGAAGAAGACAAATTCCTTCTGCATGAAATGCAAGAAAAAATGTAGCTAGCCATAGCTAGCTAGCATGTTTGTTTTGGTTGTACTTATGTCCAGCGCTGTAGTCCACTTCCTGCTTTTGGAGCAGTCTCCAGTTCACTTGGCGTTCAAGTATGCACTCAAACTACACCAGAGATCACTTCAGCTGAACCAAAACCTTTAGTTTGTAGGCAGACTGAGTTCACTGCTTTGTTCATCAGAGTTTGATTACTCATTCACACCTCCACAACTGAACCAGACTTCCTAGACAAATGGACTAAACAAGGTTGGTGTGTATTCAGCATACATTTCTCAGTGAGTAAGAGTCTTGCCAATCTTTTGGAAACATGCCACTTTGAATTCAACACTTTTGTTCTTCTAAATACCCTTTTCACTTTCTCATTATTAACTTGTATTTTCAAAAATGTCACTTTCAGCTGGTTTCAACATTTGTTTCATAACTGACATTTTTGGGGTTTCAGCTAAACTCTGCCTACACCAGTGCACAGGTAAAACAGCCTCTCAACCTGCCTGTTTAAAACTGTCACATGGTTTTGTTCAGTGTGCTCAATGGTGGGTTTAAAGACAGACATCCAATCAAATCAGTATAAAGTAGTAATTTCATTGTAAAGCAAGGAACATTCAAAAAATGAGACCGTTTTCTCTATGAACATTTAACATAAAAAGTACATACATAAAATACAAAATAGGTAAAACAATAAATACATGTATTTATTGTTTTAACAGTACTTTAGTATTTGTGCTGTTAGCTGCAGCTGGATTATCACACTTAGACACAGTAGAGAAGACCTGTAGTTGGAATACTTTTTGTTTTGGTTCTTCTAACTCTGATCACTGAAGCTGCTCAGACTTCTACATAACAAAACCTACATGTGTTTACTGCAAGTGACACCAATACCTAACCGTGAAGGAACACTACAGACCTAATATGTTAATGTTAAATCCAGGGTGTTCCTTTGTTATAACCTGCCTAATTAACTGTAGCAACTGGGGCAAATTGGGGCAATTGTGGCAGAGTGGGAAGATTAGTTGTTTTGCAATCTGACGATTATAGGTCCGATTCCAACCTCCTGCTGTATCACGTTAATGTGCTCCAGGGAAAGGGATTAAATCTAGGCTGCTGACTGATCTGCATTCTGGTGTAAGCTCCTCCTCCTGCTGTCTCAACAGCTTGTACACATTGTTCTTTTAGAAAGTTCTGCCTGTCATTAAATCTGATCTGATTCAAATAGTAAACTAGGTGTTTTTCTTCAGGCATTAAAAACAGAAGCTCTAAAACCAGTGACTAAAGACTGAACCATCTTCTCTACAATGAAGATAGTCCAGTGTCCATGCTGGTGCAGGTATTTTGGTCCCACAGTGCTGCAGTCGACTGTCGATCCTCTAATTACATGACTGAGTCAGACTCTGGTATAGTATTTCCTGGTTGGAGTCTTAGCTGAAGATCAGGGGCTTCTTTGTGTTTGTGAGGGTTCTACACAGACCAGTCAGAGAGACGCTGAATAAATTCCAAAAATAATCTTAATTTATTACAAAAAGTTCAAAAATAATTCAAAAATGATGAATTGGGCACAAAACAGAGGTCAACATAACAAACTACAACTCAGGTAGTGACGCAAAGAACTCAAGCACAAAACTGACCTAACAAACAAAACATGAGGGGAACTTAAATAGTGGCTGATCAGACCACTGCTGACACACAAGGGGTAATTAAACATTCAAGAACTTAAACAAATACTGGTCAACACAATACTAAATCTTTAAATTAAATAAATACTATTAGAA